CCGCAGCCCACGATGATAGAGACAGTGAACATCTCCTTCTTCCATCGCGGCCAGTTCAAAGGATCATTCGGGTCATCGGAAGGCTGGGGCACAAGGACGATCTTGCCAGTCGAATCATGCTTGAGGTTGGAATGATCCTTTTCAGGAGCGGTTTCGAGGCTGGAAGAAATACCCTTCTCATTGAGGAATGATGTTCCGGGGACATCGGAGAGGTGACGATCAGGAAGAACACCCAGACCCATGATGCAAAATCAGGTCGAATCTTGTATTCAATGGCAGGAGATAGTAGTTATGCTGGAGATGGAGAAGATGCAGAAGTATGACGAAGGATTCGAGGATGTGGGTAGCTTATATGTCATTTCGGGGGCATGTCGCCGACATCATTCAGGGATAATTCATGGGGTATGGGGTAAAGGAGCACGGACAGGATTGGCAGAGTCGTTTCCGTGGACCAATGGTAGTCGTGACCAGTCGTGTTATTGGCAGTCGAGACTCCGTGGCTGGGAGCTCATATTACCCCAGAGAACTTGTCAGGCCAATAGTGCAGTTGATCCCTCGTGCCGACAATCACCAAGGGCCATCTGCCGACACTATATCACCATCAGAGTTAGCCGTAGTGTCTTGCCAAGACATGACAAGGGCGTTGAGGTTACAGCTGTAGAGTAGTACCACGCTCGTTACCCCGCTAACGTTGCATGCTTAGTCTCTGGACATGTGAGATGCAGATCGTGGGGTAGTGTAGTCCGGGGACGGGATGGACATCATGGGTCTGTCCCTTTGCCGCTAGCTTGGCTGTCTCARTATTCGGCAGTGGGCATTGAACTCAAGGGAGGGATATCACTAGCACATAGTCTTATGGGTACACGAAGGCAAGGTCTCTAGCGCATTTTGGTCGTATTGGTAGCAAGGCACGTTATTCAAGCAAGATGTAAGGCACTTGATGTACGCACCAGGTGTTTGATCAAACAACAGGGAACTAAGAGGTCGCCGCTACGGTCGCTACGGCAGACATGAAACTGTAAATGCAATCAAACACATAGTCCTTATTACAGTATCTCAAGCATGACCTAATTTATAAAACATCTTGTTGTTATGYTCCGCCCCGGCATCAGCATAATCCGCATGAGGTCTCAGTGTAATRGTYTCYTCATTCAGTTCCGCCACCTGACCAGTCCTCGAAGGGTCTGTTACGAATTGCGAGACAGCTTTTGTCAAGGTTGAAAGTGGCGTGATTATCATGGCTTTAAAGAGTTCCTTATCTGGAGTGATATTTGTCTCTGTATTATATGTTAGCAGGTGGATAAAATTACACAGATGTTCGAGGACTGGAAACTGACCCAGGACTCCAGGTGCAAGAGCGTTGATCTGTATCTTAGGTTCTTCGAGCCTGATAGCCATGGAACGAACCAGTCCTATAATGCCGGACTTTGCTGCAGAATAGAGCGGCGAAACAGGGAACGGATAGATGGCKGCGGATGATGATGTGCAAACAATGGAGCCTCGCGAATTTGGGAGACGACTTCCGATCTCATTCTTGAGCATATAATGCACAGCAAGGCCAACACCTACAGTTGGTACCTGTTAGCTTATGGAGAATGAAGAGCTCAAGAAAATGGTTAACCGACTGTAAATTACCCCGTTCAGATTGATGTCTTGCATTCTCAAGTTCGGCTTTCGAGGAAACTCTGTCGGCGTGCAATCAAGRGCTCCGACTACAGGATCAGAGATTCCTGCATTGGCGATAACAATATCAATTCGGTCTCCGTGCTCACGATACACTTGGTCGAAGACCGCGTATTGTCCTTCCCAAGATGAAACATCGCACCATCTAAAACTGACAGTGGCTTGGGGGTACTGCTTTGACACTTCCGCAACAATATCAGGTCCAGTCTTTGAGTTGACGTCAAGAACGGCCACCATGTGCCCCTGGGCAGCAAAGTGACGGGTGATAGCCAAACCAATACCGCTTGCACCACCGGTCACAACTACGGATAGTTGTTGACCTTGAGAAGACGTATCAACGATTGAATCAGCAGACGGCGACATTTTGGGACTGTGGCTAGGTTGAAGTGAGAATAGAAAGACTGGATGGCTGAACTTGGTGATTTGGAGATCTGATGTGAGGTAACTAATTGCATTTTCCGCAATGATACAGTAAATGGTACTTATTTAGCTCGGAAATCCGGAAGTTGGCGATGGAAATGGGTGCCGATAAAATGGTGCACATGCCGCGGGACATGTTGACCATCCGTGGTTCCCCGCTGTCGGCAAGCGCACTTTCACCACAAGCGCGTTGCTCTATGCACTAGAGTAGTTYCCCCTCYAAGTAATTACCGAGTYATTCTACATATAGACAAAGTTAGGTCAGAGAAAGGGTAGTTCGAAAGTGCCTCCCTTGCCATTTCATCTACCCTCTGACTTACCGACTTCGAACTAATCATGACAGAGATATTCTTCTCATCAGAGATCGCAGACAATGTCAAAGGGCGGGTGGTTGTCATGACAGGTATTGCCCACCGCAGCCTACAACTTGTATCAGTTACTAACAAGTGTTACGCGTAGGTGGTGCTCAAGGAATTGGAGCATCGCTCATTTCGCTGCTGTACGAGAGAGGAGCGCATGTTTACTTCGGAGACTGGGATGATGCAAGAGGCCAGCAGCTTGCACGCCGTCTCCAGTCGAGCAAGTCTTCCAGTGGCGGATCGGTACATTTCCAGAAGCTCGACGTCCGTGACTACAAGGCGCAGTTACAACTCTTCAAGACGCCGTATGAGGAGAAAGGTCATATCGACATTGCAATCTCTTCCGCCGCCGTGATTGAGCCAAATGGTTGGTTTGGCACAGATCAACTGACCCTCGAAGCGGTTGAGACCGAGCCCGAACCCCTCAAGAACACCATTGATATCAACTTGACAAGTGTTGTTCTCTTTTGCCGATTAGCAATTGCTTTCATGAAGCAGGATAAAGATCCCAAGACCTTGAATGGTTTCTCTAAATCTATTGTCTTGCTGTCTTCTATTGCTGGAATAACCGAGGCAGCTGGTCTCTTTTCTTACAGCGCTGCAAAGCATGGCGTGATAGGACTTATGAGGTCTCTACGAGCGCTGGCGACAACCAAGTTCAACATTCGCATCAACACCGTGTGTCCCTGGGCGACGGATACGCAGATGATAGACAACGTGCGCTCCATCTTCGAGAAGCATCAACTGCCCTTTAATACGCCCAACGACGTTGCGCAGTTCATTCTTCAGCTGGTGACGGATAAGAGCTTGAACGGCAAATCTGTTCTGGTAGCTGGTGGTAGAGGGTTTGATACTGAGGAAGGCATTGATAGGACAATGTCTGAGTGGTTCGGGCCTCTTACGGAGGAATTCTGGCGCGGGCAAAAGGTCCTTGGCACGGTACGTACTCTGACTTCCGGATTCTATGTACATTTGAGTGGCCGKTTACTAAKGTCGGATATTAGGGTGATGAATGGTCTCATATTTGATCAAGTGTCATTTTCRATGAGTATRATGYTATTCGTACTGAGATCCGTGACTTGATTCCGATTTAGTATGTGCATACTGCGAGTACTATCCATGTCCTAAAATTGGTACTGTAGATCCTCAGTCTTGTTTTTCCATGGCCTAATCTAGCATCTCCATATTCCACAAAACCTAGCAAAGTCCGCAGCTCCATAACAACAGCAGCGGAGTCCGCCATGTTATATTATTAACAAGAGCCTGTTTACTAATCAGCCCGGAGCAATAACATTAGCCCAAATACTAATCATAAAGTCTGCAGCCGCGATAGAAATAATATAAATTTCCATTTTTCCTAATCTAAGCTGCTTCTGAATTACAAAATCTCAGTTAAAACTTTGTTTAACACTGTCCTCATCAACATGCCTCCTGCATTTCTTGTCGCCGGCGCCACTGGCAACACCGGACGAGGCGTTGTCACAACGCTGTCGGAACTTCTCAAAGACAACAAGACCTTTTCACACTACAAGATTCTTGCTCTGACTCGCTCATCCAGTGGAGATGCGGCTCAACAACTTGCTCGCCTGCCAAACGTCGAGGTCATYCAACAGAACTGGGTTGAGATTACCGCAGACTGGCTCCGAGAACGCCASGTCGTCAGAGCSTTCATCGCTTCGCACAACGAACCCAATCAATTTGCCGAAGAGTCGACATTCCATGTTGCTGCTCTCCACGCTGGCGTTGAATACGTCGTGCGTATCTCAACCACCGCTGCAAACGTCCGTCCCGATTG